ATGTGCAAATGGCACAAATATGTAGTCATTTCTCAAAGACTTACTTAATTCAGGTGCCCCTGATGCCGCCCCGACTCTAAAAGAGATACCCTTGAGATGAGAGGCCGCTAAAGTGTCAGCGCAAGTAGCATCCCACACTAGGGCTTTACCTCTCTCGCAAGGGATCAAAGTCGTACCATCGGGTCTCTTGCTATCGTCTCTAAATATTCCGCAAGGCTATAAAACCGAGGGGATATTTACGGAGACAAGAGCCCTTCGAATGACTTCGTTCAAAGAACCATGATGGGAAAACCTAATCCTTAATAAAAATAACTAATATTACAGAAAGAAACAAAACTCGTACATTTTCCTAACAGTATACCTTCCCATTAATCTGTCAGATAATTCACCTTACTGCTAAGTGTCGCCGCTCTGGTAGCAAATAAGTCGCGAAAATTCGTGTTCTCGTTCACCTGTATGTTATTTTTGTTGGTGTGTTTCGCATTTTATCTTCGCCAAATGTGAATTGGTTTTATTCAATATTAAGGGATCAAACTAAAAGTTAAAAAATAGCTCAGGGTCAAACTATACCCCTAAAGGTGGAAAAAAGTGTTTAATGTAACTGTTTAGACGACATTCTAGTTGTTACGTTGAGCTTGTGATATTACGGTATTTTACGTCTGGCGTAAACGAAATGTTTCTACCACTATCTATCGTAAGCCATAAGATCTTTTTACCATATCCATCAAAGATATAATTTAATATCCATAGTCGCTTGTTACGATACCTACGGGACGAAATGGGATGCCGGATTATAGGTGTGATGCGCATATTACTCATTCGCAAAGGCCCCACTAGTTGATTATCCAAATGCGACGCGTGTATGTGAGGTGTCATTTGGAGAAAATGTTGGCATATTCTCACTTATGCCCTTATTTTCACTATAATAAAAAAAAGGAAAATGACACTAAAAAACAAAACATGTGTGAACTAGAAATGTTTTATTCAATTGTGTAGGCGATACTGCTGCTGAACAGAACATTAGTAAGGAACATTCAGGCCTAGGCAGAATGGTGTCGATCACCAGTTATATACGTAGCATTGTATATAGCATTATCATAGCCGTTGTGGTAGTTTTTCTGCCGGTGCTGAGAGCAGCTCTGCGTTACGTTGAGATTGCTGTTGGTTTGTATACTTTGGTGTTATTATGTTCTAAAACTTAAAGAATTAGGTAATTCTTTTGCAATTTCCCATCTTAATCCATATTCTTTTGGCTAAACGTGGTCCGAGTAACGAGTGCTTTTTGGCCTACCCCCTCGGGCATTACATACACAACGTTAGTTTCGTTGAGTTTAGTTTACTACTGGCTAACTTCCGCAAATCCATATAAATCACGTATTTTGCACGTGGGCTGGAATATTATACAATTATTCGAGCCAACTCTTCGAGGAACCAAAGTGTTTAGCCCTGTATGTGCGGACCATCACACATACCATTAGAACGTGGGTCGCCGTTTATTCTTTCCTCACTCCACATGCTCGGCAAAGGGGTCTGACTGTGATACCTATAATAAACCAATGCTTATTTAAAGAACTATGTACAGAAATAGCAATTGTTGCCATCCTAATCTGGATTTGCTTAGTCTCATTAGCGCCTTGGATATACGTCCATAAATACATCCCACAATATAACAGTACACGTACGAGTATATTTGGTATGTGGGTGTTTCCACAAAAATCCGGCAACTCTGTGTCCGCTGCACTTTCCACTTGATATAATTGATAAATATTTTATTTTAAGATTGCTAAGTAAGAGTTCAAAATATTTTTTAATTATTCCTCAAATTTTGTTTCAAATAATAATATTTTTTATTTTATTTTATTCAATAAGGCTTACCAACTAAATACATAAACGGAACTTATGATATCACACTTTTTGGAGAAATACATTTTACATATGCATTTAAATTAAAGGTATGCACAACTTTCTTATTATAATAAAGACGTTGTTTTACAGATTACAAATTAAACATTTTAAATTAGTGAAAATATAAAAGGATTTTATTTTACAATAATGGCAAAACTAAAAAACAAAAAAAAACTAAAAATGAATCTTACAACAATCCAAAATCGATTTTTTAAAAGTATCTATCTTTTCACAGAAGATATCTAAATTACCATTTTGAAATAAAAGGTTAAAATTTTTTAACATTGTACAAATAGGAGAGGAACTACCATATCTCGTTTTTCTCAAGGACACTGAAAATGGTTTATAATTATGCAGACGAGCCGTAACTCTAGGAACTAATATATTAATTTGTGATAGGAGAGATGGACAATCCACTTCATGGTTCAATAACTTATACAAAAAAATTATGGACAGCTGTTCCTTACGTTGCTTTAGTGATAGCAATTTTAATTGGTTTAACCTATCAGAATAACTACTGAGGCTGCGGTAACTACCATTGATAAAAGAGATTCTTTTCACAAACTTTTTTTGAATATTTTCGATACGGTGAACATTATTCAGATAAAATGGATACCAAACAGAACTACAATAATCCACATGGCTACGCACGAAGGCGGCATACAAAACTTTCATTGCCTGAACAGATTTAAATTCTTTCGAATTTCTTAAGACAAACGCTAACATTCTGAAACATTTGCTAACCGTGTTATTAATATGGTTAGTGAATCTCATTTCAGAATCGAGAGCAATACCCAAATCTCTAACCTGATCGACTCTGTTCAACACAGTTCCGTTTATGTTGTAAGAGCTAGGAAATTTGTTAAATTTACGGGAAAATTTTATGTGACAACATTTATTAATGTTCAAAGTCATACAGTTTAGTCGACACCATTCCGTAACCCTGTCTATGTCCGCTTGAAGTTTTATCTGATCGACACTGTTATTAACTGTTTTGGATAGCTTTAAATCATCTGCGTAAAGTTCAAATTGAGAATTAAAAATACAGTGTTTTATGTCGTCAATGAACATAACAAACAGAATCGGCCCGAGATGGGAGCCTTGTGGAACTCCGGAGGCAGGGTAAATATCCCTAGATGTAAAACCATTCACTACTACTCGCTGCATACGACTACTTAAGTAAGATGAGAACCAATTCAAAAGTGGCCCATGAATACCAAAATTGTTGTTAAGTTTATGTATTAATAATGCGTGATTCACCTTGTCGAACGCTTTACTAAAGTCTGTATAGATTGCGTCTACTTCATTACCCGAACTCATACTAGTAATTATTCTATCCACAAATGTTAAAAGGTTGGTTGCTGTAGAACGTTTCTTTAAAAAACCATGTTGTTGCTCTGCCACGGTTTGCTTTATGTGCCACGATAAACTAGGGCATACTAATGATTCAAAAACTTTGGCAAGAACTGGGAGAATACTAATGGGTCTATAGTTATTTACATTGCTTTTATCACCCGCTTTATGGATTGGAACAATTACAGCATCTTTCCACAGTTTGGGGAAACAACCTTCTACAAGAGATCGATTGTAAATGATATGCAAGGGTCTTGTTAAGTTAGTAGCACAGTTTTTGATAAATATTGGATGAATACCGTCGCTTCCTGCTCCTTTACTGGAATCAAGAGTTTTTAAACACTTTTCTATTCTATCACTAGTTATGTTTATCTGACCTAATGTTACAGTTGCGTGAGATGTACTTTCATCAACCAAAATAACATCACTAGCCGATTCATACGCTAAAGCAAAATTGTATGCAAAAAGATTGGTAATGCTGTCACCGTCTCTAGCAACTCTGTCTCTGAATTTCATGACTGATGGTATGTCACTCCTTACTTTACGTTTGTTCTTAATATAAGCCCAAAAGTATTTTGGATTTTTTACAACATTACTGACAACTTTTTCTATATAACTACTGTAGCATTTTTTTATCATGGTCGACGTTCGTTCTTTCAATATATTATATTCCAATTCATCTAAGCCATTTTTAAATTTTTTGTACTTTTGGCGAGCTTTTTCCTTTTCACGCGATAAACGAATGAGGTTGTAGGAAAACCATGGTGGATATTTCTTAATATTACGTTTCCGGATGGGCACATATTCAGCAATAATTTGATTTAAAATATTGTAAAATTTAGATACAGCGTCATCTATTTTTAAACATGATTCCAATTCTGAGTTCCAGTCTACTTCGTTCAAACGATTTCTTATTATCCCATAATCTGCTAGAAAGAAGTTGTACCTAGGTATAAATTTGGGAGGCAGTAGTCGAGGCCCCCGCACAGATAAAAGCACTTGCAAAGGGGGATGATATAAGTCTATTCGAGAAATTATATTTTGTGACTCTTGCACTATAATACCACATCTAGAATTACTTAATACTAAATCGAGTATTTTTTGTTGATGGTTCAATACATGGTTGAACTGTCTCAGATCATAAGCAGAGAAAAAGTCAACAAGGTCACGGGCGATAGTGCTGTCATAATTAGTAGGTCTTAGAAATGCATCCCCAGTGGGAGACCAGACAATATCTCGCTGGTTAAAGTCACCAAACAAAAGCACGTCATCATCCAAGTTATCCATAACGCTGCTACATTTATCTAAAAACTGCTCAAGATGAGTACGTTTAAGAGGGGACGGTAAATAAACACAGCATAGGTGTAGCTTGGTGGTGCCCAAAATTAAAGTTATCCATAAATCCTCACAGCGACTTTCGAAAGTGTAATTTCTATATGCATGGATAGGCTTCTTAACGGCAATAAGTACACCTCCACCATCAGCAGCCATTACAATAGTATTTGATGATCTGTCTCTCCTAAAAACCTGATAACGGTCGTCAAAAATTTCGCTGTCGTATATACCATCGTTGAGCCAAGTCTCCGTTAATACAATCAAATCAAAATCATTCACACTAACTTCAAGAAAAATGTCATTTAATTTTGTCCGCATGCCGCGAATATTTTGATAGTAAATGGAAAAATTGAACTTAAATACTAAAAGCACTAATCACTTTTTGAAACAGTAATATCTAATACTAATTAAACTAAAGACTTTAAAAAATCCTGGTGCAATACCAACTTTGCTGGGTGTTCGTCGTCCTTCCTTAGAAAGATTTTTCCATTTCTCACCCATACATATTTGAATTTGTGTTCTTTGGCCCATATTCTTGTTATTGCGTGGAGTGATTTGTTAGCTTGTGTTAGATGCTCGGAGATGTAGACCGGTGACTCCTTGTCACCATAACCTAGTAGTTTTGTGTTTAACTTTTCATTGGGATGGGATCTGTTGTACTTATATAGAGCTGCAAGTAGATTATCACGTTTCAGCTTATTAACAAGTTTACATACAACTGTTTTAGGCAAATTCGACGTCTTGTTTTGCTTTTGTACACGATTACAAGATAAAACATCAGTTTCGGATAGAGTAAAACCTATCACTTTGCCGATTTGCATCATTGCATTAATCAAGTTTTCTTGTTTATGCTCCGGAAGACAGTGGATTTCTATGTTTTTCTGCCGGGAATCTTGTTCCATTACTAACAATCTTGATTCTAGGTCTTTAAATTTGCGTTGGAGCAATTCACTTTCAGTACAGAGTTGCTTGGTATCTTGCATGTAGGCCTCTACTTTAGTCTTCATATCCTCAAATTTGGCATTCATGTAGCTTATAGAATCCTCAAAGCTGCGCATCTCTTTTCTCAAGGATGAGAACTCCTCTCTAATTGCCTCCCTTACTATAACATGTAGCTCTTCTTGCATGATGGTTCTCATAGTTAAGCGTAAATTTTCCGAATCATTATAAGTGTTGCCACTCTCTCGTGCGTTTGTATTGACGTTACATATTTCGTCAGTAGGACTCGCAGCTGTCGTCGTAGAACTCTTAAATGGTGTGTCATCATTCTTTGTCTGACGCTGCGCAGATAACATTTCTATAGAACAATCAGGACATTTCCAGTTCGACTTCCTTTTAAAGTATAAAAAATATACTCTTGATATCATTTTATTGACCCTAAATGTCAGTCCCTAGACATGTCCGCGCACTGAAATTTTGTGTTTGGGCATCTATACTTCGAAAAACAATTAATTTATACTTTGACTTTTTGTACAATTGATTAATATTAAAATACTTACAACTAATTTCATCAATTTTTGTAATTAAATAAAACAATAAATATGTTTCCTGAAGTAGAAATTTTTGTCCTCAACTTTAATCATCAGTTCCTAGCCATTAAATAATTTTAAAATTTTGAGGCATAATATAAGCGTAGAGTGACCATTAACGAGTTGATTTTAAAGAAAGAGATGAAATTATCCACAATCTACACTCCCATTGTAGCGGCCATTTTATAAATTAATATCTCTCGCCTAGAGAGTACTATATTTCTTGATTAATATTAACGCGGCATTTGGTGTTTGCACACCAAATGCCGATACGGCTTAGGGACCTTCAAGAAAAGAGCTTACTCCTTTCTAAAAGATCGGCAACGCACCTGTTGCTGCAATTCCCTTGGTGTTGCAGTTGTTCATGGGTGCCGGTAGTCACTTAACATCAGGTGAGCCGTATGCTCGTTTGCCCTCTCCTATAAAAAAAGTTATTGTGACAATCGCGTTGCCCAGAATACGTCACCTACATTGGTCAACATGTTCGGCGAAATTTTGCAGGTCCAAACCAGCCCAAACGTTGACAAATATAAACTTTGGTGATTCGGTAATAGCTGTATAATTTTGTTTTTAACGTGTGACAAACAAGCACACAGATGGTAAATGGATGCTGAGGTCTATAGACATTTACATTTATCCTCAGTTAAGAATCAAAATGCAGATGCGTTGTCACCGTGTCATTCGTGCTACAACCATTACATAGCTGCAGCGTGGCTCTACCACGTGGATAAACATATAAGTTTTATCCACGTAACACAGGTTCCATGAAGATGATAGTAACAGTCGCATTGCAACAGGAAAAAAGGAATGTATTAACCGAAATGAAGTCAAAAACCAGAAACGGTATTTGTTGGACTTCTTGAAAAATTGCACAAGAAGTTTCTTTAAACAAATACTCTGACAATTATGTATTCATTATTTTGTAAATTACCTCCATTCTGGGTCGTACTCTCTAAACTTACGGAGCGTGATACTTGTGCCTGTGTTGTACATGAATGAAAATTTTAATAAATATGTCTCAAAATCTATACACATTTTATTTTATTATAATATCGTTATTGTTCATTAGGTGTTAATTATATTTTTTAATATCTAATGCTTAAATATCAGTCCCTAACAATAACAGTAAGTCCCTGGATGCCTAAATTCACAATACTCTAAATATCTCATAAAATACTACTTAAAGTGATTGGCCCTTTTAGGTATGACATAATAAATTAATCACCTATAACATACATTATTAGGAAATGCAATACCATCTTAAATATAATGAATACAATATACTTACAAAAGTGACTCTAATTTTATGGAAACACCCATGTGTGTATGTGAGTATAGGAGATGAATAAAATATTTTTGTTAGTTGAATCTTATTACAATCAAACTTTTACATTTTGTTATTAAATATCATATATTTATATTTGACATTAATTTTATAAATAAAGTATTTCTATTAAATTAAACTTTATCATCAGAGCCGTGGTAGCTCAGTGGTTAACGCTCGCTGTAAATATAACAGAACGCGAGTAACCCGGGTTCGATCCCCGCCGGCACCAATGAAATTGTTAATTGCAATTTTAAGTGCTGATTTACCACGTGCTCGGCGGTGAAGGAAAACATCGTGAGGAAACCTGCATGTCTGAGGAATAAGAAAAAAATATTTCGAAGACATGTGAAGTTCGTCAACACGCATTTGGGCAGCGCGACGGATTCTTCCTTGCCCTAAAACCCTCTCAGAAATGAGGGGAGGCCTGAGCCCAGCAGTGGGACGTATATAGGCTGTAACTTTACTTTACTTTACTTTAAACTTTATCATATGTTTTTATCTTCACACAATCCTGGTTCTGGTGGGATGGTTAAGGTATTAGATCCGCGCTTGTTAGTCTCCGAATTCTGTAAAGAAACAAAAATAAGGTATTCAACATTTTACGTGGTATAGCCATGCTGCTAGCGCATTATGGTTACATGAATAGGTCACCTCGTCCAAAGAAGGACTGCGCTATTAAATAACACAAACGTAAAGTAGCAGCATAATTCAGCTGTTTCGTATGGTGAGTGTAGAGAACCGAAGACCCGTTTAACTTGTTACGAGGTATTCCAGTTTGTTCTCAGGGGTGACAAGGCATATGCGTTGATATGTCGGCCCTCAGATGAAGTAAAAAAGGTAGATACAACGTGGCTTTTGTTATTGGTAAAGCCAAAAACCTCCGCTCCATTAAGTAAACACACGCGTACACGCACTCATTTTCGTCAGTATTTCGTTACTTTTTTTACTTAATCTGAGTGTGGGCCTTACCATCTATGTACCATCGGGTGAACTGTGTACTCGTTTGTCATTATAGGATGTATTTACCTAAATAATTAATAACTAGTAATAATCATTACTTTGCTATTAAGATATTATAGTGTTATTATTTATAAAGAAAAGTTAAACTTTCACTTTCAATATAGATTGTAAACAATACTTATTGAAAGTCACTTTTTTCATTTATCACTGGTTCGCAAAAAACACCTCTGTCCTGAGAAGAACCAGCAAGAAACCCAACGGGACTATTATTTTTTTCAAATAGTAGCTTTCGATCATGTACGTTACAATTAATAACATAAAACAAATTAGAAATAGCTTGGTAGCGATCACCCTTCCCAGAGGTTATTATCATCCATAAATTCCTTAATATTATAATAACCCTTTTTATACAAACTTACTACTAGCTTGTGTCTGTTCCTATTATTTACAGAATGTATATCACTTATTTTTGCAAAACTACGAGTACTTTTACTTTTGTGTACGTACCTACATTACATTTTCACAAATTTATTGAGAGGCCAGAGTTAATATATTAATTTCCTTAAATTTTTGTCTGAGCGACTCTTTTGGTTTTAAATCATATATTGCTCTAATGGCCCTATTCTGTCTGTAAACAGCGACTCCAAGTGCCCCAACAAGACATTCGTCCATTTAGTGAGAGGTCGGAGGAGGAAAAATATCCACCCAGCCATAAGTCTATAAAAGTTCACTGCTGAACATAAACCTTCCCCAAACATTCCCTCATAGGGGAGGATTTTGCCTCGCTTGGCAGGCAGGTTGCCAACCGCAGTTTTTTTTAATAATTTTAGTTATAGTTGTTGTCAGGAGTTGCTGCTGCCCATCTGCTGCTCCAGTTTCCCTCTGTCACCTCCTACGACACCCACGGGGCGATATGAGATATTGAATATTCTTACACCGTCATTGGACCGACACCGACACAAGGAAGACAGGCCTTTATTTTGAAAACCGCATAATCCACTACAAGTCTCCTCTACTATAGACTGCCACAAAGCATGGTCCATGTAGCGAATCCCAGCGTTGTATCATGACGTCACTCCATCACACATACTGAAATCGGGGCTTCAATCCTTCTATGCACTACGAGTATGTATTAGCACCGATTTCAGAATGTGTAATTATTTTATACATTTTATTTCGCGAAGTAGGCTTTCACGTTTTATGTAAAACAATTTATTTACATAAAATTCAAACTTATACAATATTTATTATCATAAAAAAATCTAACTCTAAAAACTTAAATTATCATGTAGTCCTACTCCCGCAGTACAGTGCCAATAACACTGGCTGCGTTTCTTCGCTGAATGCCTACAGGATTTAGCCTTTGAGCGAGAAAAAATGAACCCTCTATCACCAGCAGCGACGACCAGTCACTGATATATGTAGTCCATCTGTTCTTTTTTTCTTTTTGTTTTTATTTAAATTAATTTTCTAAATTTTTCAAAACAATTTAAAAAAATGATAGTCCAGTGTCATACGTACTTGATTATTTAAGATATTACTGTCGAACGACTTCATTTTCTGTATCCTCTTTTGAGCAGACGAAACCCGCTGTTGAAGAATCTGTTAAAATATTTTAAAATATAACGTAACTATGTTGTTAAACGAGTTTTCTAGGTGCTTATTTACTGCTTAGGAGGTATCCAGTTAGGTATTACATACCTTTAGCCTAATTTTAGCCTATTAAATATTAAAGTCCACTGCTGAACATAGGCCTCTGCCATAGACTGCCTCATAGGGGGGAGGATATTTGCCATAGTTGCCACGCTTGGCAAGCGCTTGGCGAGCGGGTTGCAACTTTAGTCGTGCAGCTCATCTCCTGATTGGTTTCCATGTGTTACCTCTTACGACACCCAGGGTTAGAAATGGGTTAATGGATATTCTTATACCGCCATCCGCGCAGACTGTAAGCCAACCTACCTCATATCTTTTATCACCGCTACCAAGCAAAGATATAATAACCCACTACGGCTTTGCCTGAGTAGAACCTATTAATGTAGCGTTATATAGATTTTTTTTATAGGATAGGTTGAGACAAACGAGCACACAGTCCACCTGATGGTAAGTGGTTGCTGTGGCCCATGGACATCTACATCTATCCTCGATTACGAATCAAAATGCAGATGCGTTATCCCCCGTGAGAAAATGAAATGAATGATTTTTATTTAACATTGATTATTATGTAATACTTATTGAAAGTCATTTTTTTATTTACCACTGGTTCACAAAAAAAAGCTTTTGTCCTGGGAAGAACCAGCAAGAAACCCAGTGGGTTTTTTAAACTTATTTCAATTCACAATAAATTTATTTCGTAAGTACAATTTTTGTATGATTTTTATAGAATTAGCATGCTGGAATTCAGCTCATTCCCAGAGGTTATTTTTATTTATGTATTCTTTTATATTATAATAACCCTTTTTGTACAATTTTTCTTTAATAAGACATTTGGTATATTTTCTGGGATATTGTTGTAAAAGCGTATATATTGCCCCATAAATGAATTACGCCTATATTAAATGCACATGCGTTGTCACCCGTGAGGACTAAGATGGAATGCCTCGTTTCCAGTAATAAAGGGTCTCCGGATCTCTACACTCGCCATACGAAACAAAGCACCATTAAGTTACTAATTTACGCTGGTATTCTGTGAGAGCGTGGTCCTTCCCAAGTCGAGCCGACCCATTCGTGCTACAACTAAACTACTAATATAACTACAGCATGGCTCAACCATGTTTTACCACGATATTTAAGCTAATCATCAAATGATTTCTTATATTTACGCGAACACAACACATTGATTAAAACTATTTTTACGGATTTTATCGCGTTTAATTTTACTTTTAATTATTTTTATTTTTAATTCCCTACGTTTCAGGTGCACCATCCAGCACCCATGGTCACGGGGAACTGAGGTGACTGACTCATTTTTAAACCGGTACTCCGGGTTTGTACAAACTTTGTAACAAAGATTTGCCCACGGTAGCTAACTGTGAAGGATGGTGGTGAGATTCACCGTTTGAATATCGGTTTGTATGGGTTTTTTTATATGCCTATTTACTATGCCTATGCATAGTCAGTTCATTTTGCACAGATCGGACTATAAATAATAATTAAAAAAGCTGAAGGTACTCCGGGTTTAACAATGACATCGCGACGTCAGTCACCTCAGTCCTCCGTGACTATGGGTGCTGGAAAGCACCCGAAACGTCGGGAATTAAAAATAAAAATAATTAAAAGTAAAATTAAACGCGATAAAATCCGTAAAAGTAGTATTAAATAATCATCAAAGATCATTTATTTTATAAATATTTCGGTTTCTCAAAAAAAAAACACTCCTGGCAATTCCTCTACGAGTGCATCTGTTCGTCAATTTCAATACAATTAGTTCAAACATTCTGAAAATTAACCCGGAAAGACGGACACGAATTTAAAAAATAGTTTCCAATTCAAATAGGCGTGCAAATAACACTTTTAGCTCAATAAAAGTCCGTTATTTATGTATTAGACTAGCTTAACCCGACTCGACCCGACTAGTTGCTGTGGCTCGTGGCCAAATGCTAAAACGCTCCTAAATATTAATATGTCGTTAATCCTCGTGGTGTCACACTCACTTTAACTTAAAGTGATAAAGATGGCATGAGACTTAACGGCATCTTAAATTGAGCAGCCTTTGAGTGTTTCGGCATCAGTCTGGTTAAATGAAAAAGTAAGAAAAGAAAAGATATGTAGGTTTATTACGAGGCTTTATTTAAGTATTCGTCAAATGCCTAGTCCTTTTACGTTCTTGTAGCTTTAATTGAGGGATAGGTGCGGTCTGCCAAGGATTTTGTACGTGTAGAGCCACGCTGCAGCTATATTATGGTTGTAGCACGAGTGGTTCGGCTCGACCGGGGAAGGACCACGCTCGCACAGAATACCAGCGTAAAATAGCAGTTTATTACTGTTGTGTTTCGAATGGTGAGTGTACATATCCGAATGCCCTTTTTTGCTGGAAACGGGGCATTCCATCTTAGTCCTCACGGGTGACAACGCATCTGCTTTTTGATTCTTAACCCTGGATAAATGTAGATGTCTGTGGGCCACAGCATCCACTTACCATCAGGTGGACTGTGTGCTCGCTTATCACACTTATTCTATAAAGAAAAATCTAGCCTTCCTTCTCTTTCTAACCTTCTTACTTATTTCTACCACCAAGCACATGTCACTGTTACAGCAATATGAGTTAAAATCACAATTTCAGGTTTATATTATGTTTAATGATTGTCGAGTTCATTTGTAGTTTTTCAAAATTGCTAAGACTATTTGTAATATCCTCTTCAATATCCAGAAAAAAATAGAGCCTGATACTGTAAGGTACTTATTCTACCCGTTAATATATTATATTTCTTTTCTTTTTAAAATAACAGAGAGGCAATTAAAATACATAAATTGAACAGACATGGAACAATTATTTCTAGGCCATACAAATACATGTTTCATGTGGGATTCGAACTCCCAGCTCGGAGCGCTGCAACTCTGCAATAAGCCACATAAAAAAGGTATAACAAAAGTGTTACTATAATATGATGGCAATAAAAGGAGAGCCATTTTTCTGAGCTTAAATTTAACGACTCACCGACTGTCTTCTTTGCTCTGCTTCAGCCAACTTCTCTTCTATGTCAGGTAAACTAATATCAGCATTAGGAGGCTGCAACAATCGCTGGACGTGAGGTGGTGGCGTAACAGCAGCCCCTCGGTTGCCTTGAAACTCTTCTAGAGGAATCTCGAAGGCCAATGCTATAATAAAAAATACATCGTTCAAAACTATTTGCTTTTTTCAATGTCAGTTTGTATATGTTCACTGCTGTACATGAGCCTCTCATCATCTCATCATGATTATCTTATAATCACCTCGCTTGGCAGATGAATTGGCAATGGCAGTGCCAGACGTCTCACACCTTAACTTTTTTATAGAATAACACTGATAAACGCGCACACAATTTACCTAATTGATGATAAGTGAATGCTGTGGCCTATATACCAAAATTCAAGTAGTAGTAGTCACCCCTGAGGACTAAGATGGAATGCCTCACTTCCAGTAAAAAGGGTCTATGGTTTTCTACTCACACCATACGAAACACAGCAACATTAAGCTGCTATTTTACACTGGTATTCTGTAAGAGCGTGATCCTACCCCGATCGAGCCGCATTCGTGCTACCACCATAATATAGCTGCAGAGAGGCTCTGCCACGAATGAAAAAATATCTGTCTGAAAATGTCCACTGTTGTACATTGCCCCTACATTGAAAGGAAGATAATCAATAATCTCCTGGTTTGGCAGAGGAGTTGACGGTCGCAGTGCCGGACGATTCCCACTTTTGATACTGTTACCAGTCGCCGCACCTTTTGGGTAACTTACGCTTCATCACGGTCTATAGGAGCGTTGCCAAAGTCGCCACGCTTTTGTTTTTGCTGCAGTCATTTTTCCTAGTTTTTATTACGAATATGCTGCTACCCATCTCCTGGTTAGTATCCTTCTGTCGCCTCTTACGACACCCACGGGACGGTGTGGGGGAGTGGATATTCTTCCGCTACTACACGGTTAACACTTGGCGTAAAGGTATTATAGTTAAAATGCCAAGTGTTTCACCCCCGTGCCTCGGAAATCACGTAAAACGATTGGTCCTGCGCCTGATCTCTATCGGATAGATTACCGTCCCTGTCAGATTACCGTCCCATCAAAGTATGAATGAGGGGGTGAGAGTGCACAGTACCTATGTAGTTGCGCATTGCGGCTTGAACTATTCTGCCCTACGCAGATTGCTAGTGTACGTTGAGACTGGCCACCGTGATGGAAATACGGTCTTGAGGACATTAATACCATCTTTTGAAAGCTATGGCTTCCAATAGATTCCAATTTTATGAGATTTTTCTGACAATTTCAATAATTACCTCTAACGACACCTACAGGACGAAACGTACTGTACCCTTACATCACCACCACTAGTGTTACATCATCTGCTCATAGTATGCACTCATGTAAAGAATGTTTAGGCAAATCATTTATGTAAAGTAGGAAAAGAGGAGGCCCTTAAAAGCATCCTTGCGCTACACCCAAATTGTTGTTACACAGTAATAATTTTTTGTCTTACCATCATATAGATAGTTCTTTAAAAAAAAACTGAAGTGACAAATTAATTTACAGTCCACCTGATGTTAAGTGGCTACTGCAGTTCATAGACACCTGCAGCCAACTTTAAACAAAGGAGACTACAGATGCTTTGTCACCTCTGAGGACTAAGATGGGATGCCCCACAGCATGTTATTATACTGGCTCTGTATACCCTTCAGACTGGAACACAGCAGTGGTACCCATCCTGACGGCATGGTATAGTAGAGCCATGCTACAACTATAATAATAATAATGTCCTCCAGACCGAATTTCGGTCACGGCGGCCTCAATACTCAATTCTCAATAACTTTATTGCATTCCATAGGTTACAAAAGGTGTTACATAGTTTTATGGTATCTCTATAGACCCTGATGGAGGAACATTTATTTTGTTTTATTATTATTATTGTTAAATAATTATTCAATATTAAAATTCATTATATTATATAAACGTACACACGTTGAATTTGGAATACGGCTATTATAATTGTTATTATTTATTAATTGATTTTGACATTTAATTTATTATTATAGGTAGTATAATTAGCATAGTTGAATTTTTATTAAATGATTTGAATCATTTTAAATTTTACTAGAATGTTTTATTGTAATTTATTTAGTAGGATGGTATTTCATTATTATCTAACATATTTATATTTACATATCTATATTATATTATATTTTTATCTTCTAAAAATTCAGAAGTACTATAGTAACACTTGTTAATAAGTAGTTGCTTTAATTTTTTTACAAATGGTTTTTCGTCTTCAATGTTTTTTATATATTCGGGTAATTTATTATATATTTTTATAGACATGGCAAATGGGCTGGAAGAATGAGATTATAGTTTTGAAGTTGGTAGCAGTAGTAGTTTGTTTCTCTGCCTTAGATTCCTAGATATGATGTCATCTCGTTTTGTGTAGAAGCTTGGATATTTTTTGACAAATTTGCATAGTTCCAAATATAGATAAAGGGCAGGCTTAAAATGTTGTACTTCTTAAAGTAAGGCTTACAGCTTTCTGTGTTTTGTAGATTAGCTATGATTCGTATTAGTTTTTTTTTGTTTGGTTAATAAACTTGAGGCCTCAGTACTGCATCCCCATAGGACAATACCGTAGCTGAGCCATGCATATGCATACGCGTAGTAGGTTGTTATCGCGGTGGTTATATCTGTTGTTTTTTTACTTCTCGTAACGCGTACATAAATTGCTTAACTTCCTATGTAATTTTTCTATATGTGGTTTCCAAGTAATATGGGTATCTATTATTAGGCCTAGTAGCGTGTGCTCGTTAACTGTATCTATAGTGAAGCCGTCATTATCTATTTTTATATCTAATTTTGGTTTTTGATACGGGTGAAAAAAGATTATTTTAGTTTTCGATAAGTTTATCCGCAGGTTATGTTTAGTTAGCCAGTCCGTTGTTCTTAATAATATGTCCGTTATTTTTTTCTGTTAGATTCATTGAACTTTGGCTTGATATAAGAATAGAAATATCGTCCGCGAACATGACACAGTATTCTTTCAGAGCCTCTGCAAAGTCATTAATGTAAATTAAAAACATAAGACACCACAGCATGCTGCCTTGAGGTATTGAAACATTAACAGTTTTAGTATCGGATCAAATTTTTTTTCAATTTTGTGTAATCTGTCATTAAAATACTCAATTTATACTATTTGCGTTCTATTGTGTAAATATGATTTTAACAGATTGTAGCACGGGCCTCTGATTCCTACGCATTTAACACCGTTGCTTTTGACATAACTAGTAATATTCCTATAGCATATTTTTATCGTTAATTACATTATGTATTTTTTGAATGTAATTGTAAATTGGTAGAACTGTTGATTTGTTTTTGCGGAAACCGTTTAGACTTTCATTAAAGATATTATATTTTTCTCAGAATTTATAGATACGGTCGTATAAATTTTAGAGGTTGTGGGAAATAAGGAAACAGGTCGATAGTTGCCTGGGTCCGTTTGTGTACCTTTTTTATAGATGGGTTTCACACTAGTCTAGAAAGTTTTAGTATATCTGGGAATACGCCTCTTCAAAAGATTGGTTTACTAAAAATGTTAGTGGATATACTAAAGCGCTTGCACATTGTTTGAACAATGTTGGGGGAAATTCATCAATACCATATCTTAGTTTATTTTTTAGACTATTTAATATTGTAAGTATTTCTTCAAATCCTACTCTGCCTATAAATATTGAGTTTTCTGATGGATGTAGAACAGGAAGACCCTTTGCTTGTGGATGAATTGTTTCACCGATATTGGAGAAGTAATCATTAAATTTATCGGCGATCTGTTTTGGGTTAGAAGAAATTTGGTTGTTGATATTTAATTTAATATTTGATTTTACGTATTTGTGCGTTCTCGAACAATATGCCACATTGTTTTTATTTTATTTTTAGACCGCTTTATCTTATTTATATAGTGTAATTTCTTTGACGTTGTTATAACCCTTTTTAATATTTTTTCATATTTTTTATAATAATCACTAAGAATTTTATTATTTAATTATTTTATTATTTACCTGCCTGCGTCAACGGAGGCTAGCCATCAACGCAGGACAGGATTATAGTGCGCAAGCACAGATGCAATCTCTATTACCTCACTCTCATAATCCGATGGGACGTAAACCGACACGACCGGAGACGATCAGGCGCAGGACCAACGGCTTTACGTGCTTTCCGAGACACGGGGATGAGACTCAAATTCCTGACTCCGGGCAGCTACTGAAAATTTCTTGACAGAAAAATTCAATAATTGAAATTTTTTACCCGACCCGGGTTCGAACCCAGGGCCTCATGCTCAGTAGTCGCACTACTACAATCACTAGACCAACGAGGCAGTCAAATAGCAGCTTAATGCTGCTGTGTTTCGTATGGTGAGTGCTGAGAACCGGAGACCCTTTTTACTGGAAGCAAGGCATTCCATATTAGTCATCACGGCTAACAATGCATCTGCATTTTGATTCACAAACGAGGATTGATGTAGATGTCTATGGGCCACAGCAACCACTTACCTTTAGGTGGACTGTGTGCTCGCTTGTCACCCTTATCGATATTAAGACTGACTCCTAGGTATAAATAAAGTCTCACCACCTAGTAGTAGCATATAAGTTAAAAAGAGCTTATAGAAGTTATAAATACATATACTCCTAACGGTTATGGTGATATGCAACATGATACTTACGTGGTTTTGGTTTAACTGGGGTTTCAGGTAACACGACAGTCGGCAGGTCGTCGTCATAGTGGTGACCATTTCCAACGCTCTTGCCGTTTATGGCTTTAGGTCCGTCGTTGCAAGTATCATGACTTGGAATAACTTGACCTGACGACCCACAACCCATATTGAACAATGCTGCCACGAATTGTCTTTACACAATGTAATTCAGCACCACTTTAGCTTACTAATACTTAAATATTTTGTTTGAACTATAAAGTCTTGAGATAATTCACTACACAGACATTCTATTTATATAAAATTAAATGTATTTATTAAGTCTTCTGAGAGTGACATCGCCTGGCGGAAAATATCTTGAATAACTTTGAGATCAATTGTTCATATATACAATTTATATACTTGTTTTCTTTAAGTCCGACAACGTCGTAACAAAACATTGATGAAATGATTATTACATACTTTGTGGAAGAGAGATAGATGCGACGCAAGCCGAACGCTCGAGCCGATCGTTCCTTTCGCTCGCTCGTGCAGCGTTCTCGCTCCGATCGTAACGTTACAGTGAGCGTGACGTTACAATGAGTCATCCTTTTTCGTGCGTGCAACCGGTGTTCATCGATTTATTAGACGTAGTCACGTCAATAAATATAACATAAAAACATACATAATATTTTATATTAATAAAAAAACGAAAATCATTAAATATTTATGCCGCCAAATACGTTAGAGAAATTGGTAGGATTCCGTCTGAGTCCTTGACGTAATACCTCCTGCCACCCAGTTTTATTATTTGGCATACATTTATAATTGAAGATTGATAAATCAACCTTTATATTTAAAAATAAAATTGAAGTGTCTGTTTGTAATGTCAAAATAACAGCTCTTTTACTAAATGCGTGTGAAAGTATACCAAGTCATTTTTTTTTAAATTTTGTAAGTATCTGTGTTTATATCTGTCTGTCAGTCGGTTTGTTCCGACTAATCTCCGAAAAGGCTTAACCGATTTTGACGGGACTTTCACTGGCAAATAACTTATGTTATAAGGAGTAACCAAGGCTACTTATATTTAAGAAAAAGTAGTGGGGTTTTGGGAAAAAATTAAATTCCGTAAAATCCAACTGAAAATGGCGCAGTGGCTTACCAATGACCTACTGTGCTAAAGGCCGCAAGTTCGAATCCCGCACGAAACAAGTATTTGCATGGTCTACAAGTAATTGTTCCGGGTCTGGATGTTTACCTTGTGAAATTTATGTTGGTAAACTGCCCCGACGATACAGGAGAGAATTCTAGTGTGGAGGTAACGTTTAAAAAACATATAAAAATTCAGCGCGGACGAAGTCGCGGGTACAAAGCTAGTAAAATATAAAATAGAATAACGTTTACATTTGTTGCTATTAAATTTTGCCAGGCGTTTTGCTTATTTACATCTATAGTATGTTTTCTTTATGTATAAACTTTTTAATATTTTAGTACATACATGCCTGCTCTAATTCTTAACCTTTTATGAAAAGCTATTATTGTTTGCTTAAAATACGTGTACCTAGACTGACGTTTATTAAAAGTCAACCAGTGTGTGGTACGACCTAAATTTCAACAAATTCATGCCCTCGATAAAGGAAAGTAGACATGGCTCATTAATCGTCGCCTACCTGTAAAAAATATATCGTTTACTTATTAATTCTTTAACATTCGAATTAATTCCAACTGAAATAAAACTACTTTGTGGCATTACCTATGTTCAGCAGTGGACTTGTGAAAGGCTGTAATAATGAATGATGATGACGATGAAATAAAACTAAATAAAGAAATGTTTCTTCTTAATTTTAATAAGAGAATTTAATTAAAAATTTTATTCAGAAATATAAAACGTGCCGAGACTGTGAATTTTGGCTTTAGCTTTTTACTACTGTCCTTTTATAGAATGAAGGTGACAAACGAGCACACAGTCCACCTGATGTTAAGTAGGTGCTGTGGCCCATAGAAAACTACATTTATCCACGACAAAGAATCAAAATGCAGATGCCGGAACCGGTAAAAGTCCGGAACGTTGGTTTCAAGCCAGGCTAGGGTAGTTCGTGCCTTGTGGCCAAGTGTGCAAAGGCCTGCTGGAAAGTCCACGGTACATTTTTAAATTGTGTATTGCTGAGAGGTTTCACAACGCGATCCAAGGCTGTCTCGTGATACACTTTTGCTGAAATTTTCACTAATTTTTCATAAAAATGTAGCTTTGTGACGCCTTGATAAGACACGCCCCACCAAACCATCACTGACGTAGGATGATGACCACGTTGTACCTTGCCGACCACTTGACACTTTATCATTTTGCTTATTGTAGTGCTCTTCAATCGTGAAAATTTTTTCATCGGTAAAGAGGATATTTCTGTGCCGTTCACCTGCGTATCGCGACAGAAGACATTTTGATCGATCCACTCTCTTTAATGATAAGATTTATTTAATGTAAAGATTGATTTAGGGCATGCCCTATAAAAAAGTGTATTATTATCTACATATGTTTTTGCAAATAAATATATCTTTATCTTTATCTTTATCTGTAAATCGACGATAAGCACCGAGCTTCAGGTCTTGTTTTATAATACGCGTCAGAGTCCTAGCGGGAATCTTCATTTCTCGCGATAAGATTTTTTGCTTCCTAATGGGATTTCGGCGCATTCTGGCTTTTAACACCTTTGCAGTCTAAAATCTTTATGGTTTTCCATAGAGGAAGTGTTGTTGTATCTGTTAATAGTATGATATACGAACGTATGGCTGATACCAAGCTGAAGAAGACTTTGAAGTGTCTGGAATAAGACCGACGCTCCATACCCAATTTGTGCAAGGCGATCACCGTAATACTATTTTCTTTAACACCCCATTACATATTGTAATTTGATAATGAACACGAAAAAATATGTGAAATGGCGCGAATGCGAAAGAACTTTTAAAAATAATGAACGCGTTCCAAAATCAAAATAAGTTGAAGAAAAAGTTTTTATGTAACAGTATTTGTAGCCAGACTAGTTAATTTTAAATAAAGTTTTGTTACTAAAAAAATATCAACAATTTTTTTATACCACAACAGTAAGTTTTTGAACTTTAAGTAAATAAATCAATAAAAAAAATCGACATTAAAATAATACGTATACAATTAGTAGTATTTATTGATAGATCAATTTCATAACATGTTAATGTAAAATAAAAAAAACCCATACCGCCTTAGGCTTCTATTCCGTTCACCTGTTACTCCCTAATTTTTCCAGACAGTAAAAAATCACTTCTCTATTAATTTCTCTATTTAATCTATATTACTCCGTTTGCACAACATATATATTAACGGCCTTTAAGTCTACTTACTCCACTCCAGCTTATACACATACAATATCACAATAACTGTTCTATTTTCATTTCATTAAGACATGACATAAGACATCGCGTTTAATTAACTTATTTTTAATTCCCGACGTTTCGGGTGTTTTACAACACCCATGGTCACGGCCCCCCCCCCCCCCCGTGACCATGGGTGTGTACCTGTGACTGAGATACTCAAACCAAATGCTCTACTACGTCCCATAGTGAGACAGTCACGTGCCGATGGCTAGCCTCCGTTGAGGCAGGCCGCCGTTGAATGTCGTCTACAATGTCCTGTGGGACAATGCAGGTAACGGGCCTCGGGGTAACACCATTGCCCGGGTTTCCTCATATCCCATTACTATGGGACAGTCCTTTAGCCTATTTTAGTCTCGATAGCATACACGGGTTTTTTCCGTGGTGGCAGTAAATTGTTTTTCCGTAGTTATCCAACTACGGAAAAAGGTGGTTATTTGGTAAGTCTGAGTTGGCCTTTCTGCGGCATTGTGGGTTGTTACTCAACTCTCTAATCACATATAGAGAGGAGTTCTCTTGGAAGAGGTCGCCCGTCCGGTGGCCGGGTGTGTAACGGCGCAAAGCCGTTAAGGTGTTCGTGTGGCCCGTTATCGGCACGGTCAAACATGCCGCGCGCTAACCGGGCCACGAAGTCGGTGATGTTCTCGATCTTCAAGTCGGCCGCTATCACGTCGTTCCGGACGTAGCGACCTGCTCCGACGATCGTCCTTAATGTCAGATTCTGCTGGGCCTATAGTCGCTGCCTCAGAGGGTCGCTCAGAAGTGCGTACCAGGCCGGTGCAGCGTAGGTGATGATGGTCCGGATATACATCTTGTATATCCGGAGCTTGGTTCGTATGGGCAGCTTGGATGCCAGGACCGGCAAGAGCGTCGCCCGCGCACATCGGGCCCGGCGGACGACGAAGTCGACGTGCGCGGTCATGCGCAGCGTCCTGTCGATCCTGCACCCAAGGTAGGTTACAGCCTTCTGGTACGCAATCTTCTGGCCGTTGAGGGTCAGCGGAGGTGGAAACTTCCTGAGACGGCGAGTGAGCAGAGCGGTCGTCTTACCAACGTTGACGACCATCCTCTACTCATCCAGCCATGGTGGCAGCAGGTCCAGCAGACGCTGCATCTTGGCAGTGGCTATGTGGGCTCTTCTGGACGAGGTGAAATAGGCGATATCGTCCGCGAATAGCGCCAGCTCAACGTCGTCCTCCCACTCTTGAAGTCTGCCTGCCAGTGTAGGTATATCATTGGTGTAAGCCGCGTACAGGACTGGAGACAAACAGCTGCCCTGTGGGACGCCGGCTTTGATGGTTCTCGTTGCGGATTCGGCGTCCTCTACACAGACGTAGAACTTCCAGTCTTCCAGGAAAGACGCTATTAACCGCAATATAGCAAGAGGGACACTGGTCTGTTCTTTAAGCTTATATAATAATCCTGCGTACCACACCCGGTCGAACGCCTTCTCGATATCGAGAAAGACGCCCAACGATATGCGGCCACGATTGTACTCTACCGCAAGCAGGTGCAGCACTCTAGTCAGTTGAGTGACTGTGGAGTGACCCCTCCCGAATCCGTGCTGCTCCGCCCGAAGTTGGATGCACGGACGGAGACGTCTTAGCAGCAATCTTTCAAACAGTTTAGCTATATGTGGTAATAGCGTGATCGGCCTGTAGTTGGCAGCTCTACGCCTGTCCTTCCCGGGTTTCGGCAAGACGATGATTTTGCCTTTTTTCCAGTCCTCCGGGAAGTGGGATGTCCGCAATATCCCATTGTAGAGTCGACCAAGCTCTACTATGACTC